TTGGTTATAAGTGACATATGACATCCTCTCATGACTTAGATTTTAAAAAACTTTAAAATATTATATAAAATAAACAAATTTTGGAATGAAACAAATGGTTAAGGATCAAGATAGTACAAAAGAGAATGTTACAAGTTACAACAACCATCACCCACACATTATATCCCTCAAAAGTTCCTTCAGATCAAACCCCCAAAAGAATAAGAATAGATGGATTTGCTGTACAAATAAATTACAAACATTTTTTTTTTCTCTCTTTCAAAAACAATAACACAAGAAGAAACCAAACCGGAGTAGATGGATTTATGGTTGTTTGTTCATCATGGCTAATGATGATGATCCTTGCATCTGAGAACCTGAACTTTTCCTATGTGATTGTAGATGTTTTAATCTTCTGCTGAGGATATCGATATATTTCCGGAGACGATACCTGACTGAGTTTGTGAGAGACAATGGCGGATTCAGAATCAGCATTGGTGCTTCTACAAGAAGGAATACCAGCAAACGCACTGCTTTCGAATATAAATTTCCAGCGTTCTCTACATCTCCCATAAGCTCCTTAACCTGCAGAAATAGCCAAAGCCACTAAAGCTATTGAATATATATATGAGAGTAAGCATACGCTAATTGATTGATTTATTTTTAGATTTTGATCAAATTCATTGGGAAAAGGTAAACTTACACCCCCGAGTTTTCCAAGATCAAGGGCTGCTTGAAATATTGTCTCCATTGCATCCGGCATTTTCATATTTCCTACACCCAAGTAGATGAAAACCTTTTAAGATCTTGAATACCACAACAACGAAGCAGAAGTCTTTTTTTACTCCTAAGAGAAAAACATACCAGATTCGATACTCTTGGCAAGTTCTTCAGCAAGCTCAATCTCCTGGATAAACTGCCTCTGAATCTGAGAGGATATCTCCTCTGATCCATCGTGGCTGAGATCAATGATTTTCTCAGAATTTTGGGTATCGTGTTTAAGGCCGCTACTTCTACTTAGTCTGTTAATGTCTCGGCTTGGGCTTCCTTCCAAACCTGAAAGTGCCTGAGTATGACATATGTGCAGTGCCTGTTTCCAAATTGCTAGAATCGCCAATTGGATCGAGAACGCTTCTAGCTGTTTTTCAGTTTTTATCTATGCAAAGAAGTATGAAAAGAACATAGTCAGAAACTCATGACGATGATATTTCGTGACTATAAACAGTGTAAAGTTTGGTTACCCTTTCATGAACTAATTCTGCAATTGTTGCTGCACATTTTCTCAGAGACCTGATTCTTGTCAGGCTATGAGTTGATGGCTGTTCAAAAGCATCCCCAAGATCCAGAGACCCATGAGAAGTGCTCGGGGCAGAGTTCTGACTGTCCAGGCTCCCAAACCGACCAATGCTGTTGCCAGTAGCACCGATTATTGGCATGGGAGCCGTTGAGCTTATGCTTCTGTTGAATAATTCTACAGGAGGAGACGGAGACTTGAAAGGGAAATTATAAGGCTTCGAAGAACTCGATGAAGATGATGGCATATCCACTGGTGGTCCAGATACGAGAACGTAATCTTGATCCATCGAGTCTTGAGAATCATCTACTGCACAAGAGACATATCTGAGAAAACCAAAAAGAAAGCTTAGTCAAACCTAGGGCGTAGCAAATTCTAGAGATTCAATTACCTCCTCCATTAGCAATAAGTGATCTGGAATCAGTCAATCCTGTAGGTTCTCTAAGGTTTTTCCTATCTGAATCTATCTGATTTTCAAATCTAAATCTGTTGTTTTCCACTCTCTGGTTGGTTCTATTATACCCAGAAGTCATTTCTGTATATCTTAAAGGACTAGATTCCGCCTCCTTTCTCTCAACTCTGGTACCAACGTTAAACCCTGGGGACGAATTCATTGAGGACGTCCTTTTCAAATATGAAGGGCTCCCGTCAGGTCCACTAGAATCATCATCTAGAAGGAACGGCAAACAATCATCTTGAGAACTTTCTTCCATATTTCTCGAGGGACTGCTTTCAGAAGAAAGAAAACTGTCCATTGTTCTCGTACCCAATCTACTCCTGCAGCGCACAGATTATTTTCATCAGTACAAATGTTTGCATAAAGAAGAGAAAAAGCATTAGCTACGACAACTGTCACATACCTTGAGAAATCATATGATTGCTTGTCCGAAAGAAAAGGGTGATTAAAGAATTCTTCAAATGTCAAACGTTCCACTGCAAAAGAGAAGGCAGCCAAGAATGAATTGGATAAAGACAGAGAGGGATCATAAGCTCTTCAGTATAAAGTATGTTGTTTAAGAGATGAATAGATACTGAGGCATATGGTTCTCCACAAATTCCAGCATAATTAACTTTACACTGATACTGACCTGGATTACGGCGAAGTNACTTCTGACAGAGATCTACACAGTCCAAACTTAAATCTCTGCAGTCCGCTGGAAAATGTAACTCATTGGATCTTATAATGTTTTGAAGCAACTGTGAATATCAGATGGAGAATGCGTTTAGTTTTATGCACCAGAATACAATTACAAACACTTACATATAATAGAAATTCGTGAGATGGAATACCAAACCTGAAGTTGACTATTTCCTGTAAAAGGGGTTCTGCCTGTCACAAGTTGAAATAAAATAGCACCAACACTCCAGAGATCTGCCTGTGTATTAAGCAAGATTATAAGGAGGCTATGTAAAGAGAAAGGTCTAGGTAGCTTAGTAAGAGGGAAGGTCTCACCTTTGCATCATACTTCTGAAGTTGCATAATCTCTGGGGCCATATACAATGGTGAACCGCATAAAGTTTCAGCGAGTCCCCTAGGTTGCAACGATCTGCATTAAGAATAGTGTGATGTTCAAAATGCAAAGTAAAAAGTTCAAAAGGGGGGGAGGGGTGTAGTAAGCAGAATCCCCCCGTGAAAAGAATGAAATTACCTAGAATTTGAAAATATACATTGAAAAGCAGCTTGAGCCCATTTGAAACCTTCTCTAATTCATTCATATTACACTCTTTGATCTAGTAATGACAATACCTTGNAAAGCCAAAATCAGCAATCTTCAGAAGTGCATCATTTTCATCTGTGGATAGAAGAAGATTCTGTTTCAAGAATGAAAGATCCTTAGCAATTAAGTTTCAACATAGATGATGACCCTTCTACAGCATTCCTTTCAGATTGTTGAAAGTTCTAATCATTTAACGCTAATCTCACATAACCAACGTATCTGATTAACAACAAAAACACATGGAGCACAGAAGATGGTCGAAAGGTATGATAATCAGACACACCTGAGGCTTTAAATCGCGGTGAATAATATTATTGTCACGAAGAACTTGTAACCCCGCCGCTGTCACACAGAAAAATCCATCCGAGATTAAGAACATAATCCTGTCAACCAACACAAAAGACAAAAAAACAGAGATTATGTTGTCTTAAGAATTTACCTAATTGCTGCATGAAATGCTTAGCAGTAGCTTCAGGGACACTTCCATGACTCTGGATATACACAGATAAATCACCTCCTTTGCAATACTCCAACACCAAATGTATTTTCCCAGGAGACTACATCAAACATCCCAAAACACTAAAAACATCAACTTTGCAAACCAGATCCAAATTTGTTCAACATTGAAGCTCAATTCCATGTAAAGTTGATCCATTTTTCTTCTTAGATCACACTTTCCAACAAAATAATCGATAATGCCGCTAAATCGCAGAAATTCAAAATCACACAACAATAGAGTATTGACTATCGCAAAACAAGACACTGAGAATCCAAACAACAAGCAACCTCGATCATGTCGAGCAAACGGATGATGTTGGGATGATTGATCCTTCTTAGTATAAAAATCTCAGACATGAGGCTATCCTGTAACTTCTTATTAAGCCGACCCATAGCGATCTCCTTGATAGCGACCACCGTGCCATGAACTCGGTGCATCGCCTCCCAAACCACCGAGAACGAACCGGAGCCGATTTGCCGACCCACCAAGTAGTCACCAACCACCCGCCCGCTCATCGCCGTAGACTGAGCCATTTATTCCTCCGACAAACCGGCTCCGAGAATCTAGAAGATCGGAAGGAGACAGAAATTGAAGTCGGAGCTCCGAAATTCAAAGGAATCTTTTGGAATTTATGACCCGTCGGGTTGAAAAGAATTCGATTAGGCGTATTCGGATAATGAAATTAAATGTAAGTTTATTCTAAGAATCTTCGTGCAGTGCCACCGTTTATTTGGTTTATATGATAAGATCGGGAAATGATTTAATTTAATAATTTATGTTATGGGTTAGTGGGAAATGAGAATTATTATTGGAGGATTAGTGGTTTGAGATTCCCTAATTTAGTTGCTTTTTATGTTTGTCTTTTTTTGACGAAGGAGATAGATTCAAAGGAAAATTGGGTGCATAATACAAAAAAAATTATATTCGCAAATCCAATCAAAACTTTCTATGTGGCTAAATTTCACCTCTTGAATTTAGAGGTTTTGGTTAGATTTAATATAATTTTTTTGTTGGTTAGACAACAAATTAACCCTAGATTCAAAGATTGAAGCCAGAAAATGATAAATGAAGCGTCAAGGAAGAATTTATGTTACAGTGTAGTGATGAGTTCCACGGTAAAAGATTTATGTCAAAAAAAAATAATTAATTATGTCTTTTGTTCTTTTCTTTGAGGAGATGGATATTTATGTAATTTCGTTTAATATCAGTAAGAGCATCTATACAAGAAAATTAAAGAGTTAACAACTTTTTTACATGCAACTTTTTTTTGTTTCCAGTGTAACAATAATCCATTCGAAATATATTCGAGTTATAATGTCTATCGTGTTGTCTGAAAAATTTCTCGACAATACAAAATTGTTCGAGAAGAAGTTTACTAGCGAAGAGCGGATAATATAGACTTTATTAGATCATGGAACTACTATTTCCTCAAATCAAGAGAGTTTTAGCAAACCTAAATAATTCCAAGCCAAATCAATCTAACCGAGTTTTAGCAAACCTATATACATGATTTGTTTTTGGCTATATTTACAAACAGAGTTTATGTTAAATCTAAACCAAATTCGACCAAAACTGACTGTGCTTAGGTGCATACACTTTTGGTCTCATGTTTTGAACTGGTCAAGACCGTGTCAAAGATGTCACACCGATTGAACGTAAAACCAATTGGAATTCAAGTCCAGGTGACCGATTCAAACCATCTAATCCTTAGATAAAGATATAACTGTCAATCCTCATAGATATTTTTATTAAGAGATTTTATCATATATGGCATCGATCAAAGAAAGGAAGCATCATACGGTACACATTTCTTCTCAAGTTTTACCCGTAATGAATTTTTTTGAATATATGAATAATCAAAGTCTTAGTCAAAATACAAACTTAACACGTTGTTTGTCTCCTTGTTAACCTCCTTAACAACAAACTATATATATATATACACACACATACAAAGGATAATTTAACGTACCGATTTTTTGCTTAAAATGGAGACTTGGGCAGTAATTATCATAGCTTTTGCTTGTACTTTTGGTGTTTTTATATTTCTTGCGGCCTTGACTGGAAGCCGGCGAAAA